AAACTATATATATATATATATATAATAAATTACATTGTTTATACTAATATATTAACGTCTACAATCTTAAGTCTTCTCCATAGGTCAAAGAGGAAATTATCTGTATGTTAATTATAATTTTTAGTTCTTGCATAAAATTATAATAATTTTCTGCAATAAAAATCAGAGTTATAAAGTATAAAATAACTCAAAATTTATATTTGATTTAATTTAATAAATGGCAGCAATGAAAATTCGATTTTAATTAAAATACATTTTTGCATTCATTAAAAAGTAGTGTCAAAATAAAAACATGACCCACTTTTTCATTCTCAAGGAGAAAAATAAAATGCATTAAAAGAAATTCGTTTTGATTTCTTCTTCTAGGTTATAGAAAAATTATATTTGCTTAATTATAATATATAAAGAAAAAAAATATATATTATTGATAACGTATTGTCTAGATATTGTATAGACATTCACTTCTATATTATTCTCTTTAATTCTTCGCTTATCAAAGTTCACGTAGAGACTACTTGAACTTTAACCCAAGCAAATACGTCATGGCACCATTTTTGACAACTGAAGTGTTGAATTTGTTTCGGTTGCATCAGCATAATTTATCATTGCAGAACATGCAAAGTATCCTGACTACTTTTCCTTTTTTAATAATAGATTTTTGATAAATTCTCTTAAAAATTATAATTATTGTTCATGTTATTATGATTTTACATTTACATTTTTGATATTGTTAAACAATTATCGAATTTCTATATATATATATATATATATTTATTTAATATATATATATATATATTTTAAATTTAAAACCATAGAGTAATGTAGTTTTGTTATTACAAAAATAATAATTTATAATTGTTAATAAATACTAAAATTTATAAATTTAAATATGAGAAACACTAGAAAGTTTTGCTGAATATACAAATAGGTCTATTATAATAACAAGAAGAAATCTATGAAGAATATTAATGTGACAGACAGAAAATGAATGTAAAATACCAAATAATATATTATAAATTTCCTCTAAGTAATCAGTTATGTAATATATAAAAACATTATTCATTTATTAATTTTATTATTAAAAAAATGTATGTATTTTTAGTGATTAATAAAATATTATTAATATAATTTAATTTCGGTCAAGTTGTTTAAATCATTGGCCTAAAATAATTACATAATATGTAAATTCTATTTTCAATAATTATGTAAAGATTTATAATTTATGGATTTGTGTCCAGCATTTAAAAATTCAAATATATTAAAATATTGTAAACATCCGATACAGTTCTTCGAAATTTCTCATTAAAAATTAAAATATTCAAAACAATTTATAAAAAATTCATATTTCTTAGTAGAATTATAAGCAAAATACGAAGAATTTAATAAAGTTCTTTCTAATTTTTAATCATTTTAATTTTTGTTTTTTTGCGTTAAAATCATTTAAATTTAATATAAAAATTTAAATTATTTTTGATATTGAAAATAGAAAATAATCACCACAAGATGGCCCTAACAGATATATATATAGGCCTATATATAAACTATATTTAAATTTCGCAACCAAGTTAATGTAAGTTATCAATTATATCATAATAATCTAGTGGAGCATGTGGCCCAGGCGAATTTGAATTAGTGGATCCTATATACAGTACAGTACTTCAGGCATTTTTCTTCGGGGGAATATTTTATTATAAAAAAATTGGTTTGGGATTTCCAGTTGGAAGGGAGTCTCAGCAATTGCCCCTTTTTGTCCATAGAATAATCATATTCTTTAGAGAAACTTTATTATTATATTATATTAAAAAATTGAAAATAATTTTATGACTTTTTCAAATAAACAGTCTAAGAAGATATAATTGTTTTATTTAACATTCAAGCCATTACATAGTAATAATATATTATAATCGTAATACTTGCATATACAAGTATAGATAATGAATACAAAACTTATAAATCAGATTTTGTTATGAAAAATAAAATATTTCACGGAACAGTTAGTTCATCTAGTATAATTTATCTGAATAACGAACGTAAAACTTGTTTGCTTAATATTCTAAACAGATATTATAAAGAGAAGACGAAGGAAACAGTTACGGTATCAGAAATTACCGTTTAACAATAATATAAAAGTTATCAAGGAGAATAATAAAAAAAAAGACTAAACTGTCAATTGAATTAGTTAACTTACAATGGAGAAGCTGGTTATCTAAACGCATTTCATTATTAAGATTAATGAAGGAAGTGAGAGTGTGACATCATCCATTGGCTTCAAGGCATTCGAGTGACCTAGACTCGCAAACCTAGATTCCATTTTCTCTAATTGTTCCATAACTGTTGTTATTGTTGTGTTTTACTTTTAACTTGCAGTGAAATTCGGTAAATATACAAACAATTTTTAATTATTATATTACCTTTTATCCAGCAATACGATGACATTGATATATAGTTTATGTATATTAAAAAAAAAAATTGAACTTTCCTGTTTTGGTAGTTAAGTTTCAAAGAAAAGTGTTGCGCAACTTTATGTTGTTACATTCAATTTATTCGCTTGACTTATCAATCTACGCTTATTGTAAACGGGTGCGCATCATGTGGAAATTACTTAAACTGATTATTGTGGTTACTGCCGTTAACGGAGTACCTAGTAAGTGATTTTATATATACGTATATATTTTTTAGTAAATAGTAAAAAGAAATTTTAAATAAATATTTAAATATAATAATATATAAATATTTTATAATTATTTTAAATAGTTAATCAGCTTTGTGGAAAGAACGAAGAGTTTAGACACCAAAGCTGCGAGCCGACTTGTAACAGGGTTCATGATCAACCTTGCTCTGTTGTGGAGAAATATGACGGTTGCTTTTGTAAAACAGATTTTATAAGAGATGAAAAAAATAAATGTATTCCGGTTGGCGAATGCAGTAAAAGTATGTATTTGAATGTGGTAAGGATATATTTTTTTTTATGAATTAAAAATTATTAATTTTTATTTAATAGTTCATAACATTAACTTAAAATTGTTTCACTAATAAATATTTTGTATATAAAATTTATTTGAATTATTACGCTTGTTAGATACACAATAACAGTGTATATTGTAAAGATTTGTGATAAAACACATATACAAACACATATGTGTGTATGTATATAGGCCTATATATATATAAATGAATATAATAAATCTATAAAATTAAATTGTATATAATTTTAAATGTATAATTGTTTAAAGATTATTTAAAATTATGCAATCTTTAGTAATAATTATCAATATCTGTATTAAATATAAATTTTTTAAATTCAAGAAATGTGCAATATGCCAAATGAAGAATTAAATTTAAATGGAGATTTAAGATTTTGCAATGGATCCGGAACTTATTATACTACAAAATTTAAATTCGATGTAATAAAAATATGTTTCTGTAAGGACGGATACGCTAAGAAACATGATGCGTGTGTCCCTATTAAAGAATGCACGGTAAGTCGTTATTTTTAAATAATATAGTAGCCCTTCGTTATCGAGAGACAAAGAAAAAGCGCGATATAACCGAATACTAAAAAATTCTGGGCTTTTACTAAAAAGATTATACATACTATGGAGAATCTCTATTCTCTATTCTTTCATCAGCAAGTGTTTCTGATATAAAATAAGCTTAGTTTTTCAAGTTTAGTTAGGTGAATTGACGACATTGGATCAATTCACATAAAGGTGTGAAATTTCGAATTCATAGAGACTTGTAAATAAGGAGAAAGAACTTAAAATCAGTAAATAAACAACTTTTAATATCAAAATTTATGTTTATAAATGATAATTGATTCATCCACGTGTTTTACTTACTGTATTTAGATCTTGACGAATTTATTGTTTCGCTTACAATAGTAGGAATAAAATACCGTATTTAGTTGCAAAAAGAATGTAATTGCAATTGATATTTTAAAATTTATTGACTCAAGTGCATTTAAAATTTGGACGACAAAAAAAAAAGCGCGATATAACGAGTGGCTACTGTATTAAATTAATATCAGTTCAAACGTTACTTTATGTATGAGTTTATCACACCAAGTGCCTAATCTAACACATATTGAAAATTTTTAAATTGTATAAAGTAGAAGAATAAAGAATTTTAAAATGTGTTAAATCGGTTACTCGGTGTGATAAATCCTTACGTAAGGTATCGTTTGTACTGATATAAATCAAATGTTATAATATAACAAATATTAAAACGAAAACAATATAAACCGTTTGGTAATTTCAGCCTATCATTGTCATGTTTATCACTGTAATTGTGAGGTAGAGAATGACACAATTTTTTTAGTCACGTAGATAGCAATTGAAAATACGTTATTAAAACTTTTTAAGACAGCGTGTTTTTTCTAATGTTAGCTGTTTCTAATGTTAGCTGTTACAGCCGAACATCAAACATCAATCTGCCAGCGAATGAAATTTCGCGGAAAATGGACCATTGATTTAAACTTGGACATCCTAGAAACTATTTTAAACATATTTTGTTCATGCCTGTAATCTCGTATTAAACAATTTTTAAATTCAAATGCCTCTATAGGGGAGACAGGGAATAGTTGTCACAAGAGGCATAATGTCACAGTACAAATTTCGCTTAAATAATTATAACTGAATGGTCCCGTCATCTAGGAGTAGGTTCATTTACCTCTCACCTACATCATTACAAAATTTAAATAATATCCGTTGCATTGTTTTCCGTTAATTAGCGGTTAAAAGATTTACAGCAAGTCGCGTAAATTTTGATGCATTATGTCTTGTGCNAACTTGCAGTGAAATTCGGTAAATATACAAACAATTTTTAATTATTATATTACCTTTTATCCAGCAATACGATGACATTGATATATAGTTTATGTATATTAAAAAAAAAAATTGAACTTTCCTGTTTTGGTAGTTAAGTTTCAAAGAAAAGTGTTGCGCAACTTTATGTTGTTACATTCAATTTATTCGCTTGACTTATCAATCTACGCTTATTGTAAACGGGTGCGCATCATGTGGAAATTACTTAAACTGATTATTGTGGTTACTGCCGTTAACGGAGTACCTAGTAAGTGATTTTATATATACGTATATATTTTTTAGTAAATAGTAAAAAGAAATTTTAAATAAATATTTAAATATAATAATATATAAATATTTTATAATTATTTTAAATAGTTAATCAGCTTTGTGGAAAGAACGAAGAGTTTAGACACCAAAGCTGCGAGCCGACTTGTAACAGGGTTCATGATCAACCTTGCTCTGTTGTGGAGAAATATGACGGTTGCTTTTGTAAAACAGATTTTATAAGAGATGAAAAAAATAAATGTATTCCGGTTGGCGAATGCAGTAAAAGTATGTATTTGAATGTGGTAAGGATATATTTTTTTTTATGAATTAAAAATTATTAATTTTTATTTAATAGTTCATAACATTAACTTAAAATTGTTTCACTAATAAATATTTTGTATATAAAATTTATTTGAATTATTACGCTTGTTAGATACACAATAACAGTGTATATTGTAAAGATTTGTGATAAAACACATATACAAACACATATGTGTGTATGTATATAGGCCTATATATATATAAATGAATATAATAAATCTATAAAATTAAATTGTATATAATTTTAAATGTATAATTGTTTAAAGATTATTTAAAATTATGCAATCTTTAGTAATAATTATCAATATCTGTATTAAATATAAATTTTTTAAATTCAAGAAATGTGCAATATGCCAAATGAAGAATTAAATTTAAATGGAGATTTAAGATTTTGCAATGGATCCGGAACTTATTATACTACAAAATTTAAATTCGATGTAATAAAAATATGTTTCTGTAAGGACGGATACGCTAAGAAACATGATGCGTGTGTCCCTATTAAAGAATGCACGGTAAGTCGTTATTTTTAAATAATATAGTAGCCCTTCGTTATCGAGAGACAAAGAAAAAGCGCGATATAACCGAATACTAAAAAATTCTGGGCTTTTACTAAAAAGATTATACATACTATGGAGAATCTCTATTCTCTATTCTTTCATCAGCAAGTGTTTCTGATATAAAATAAGCTTAGTTTTTCAAGTTTAGTTAGGTGAATTGACGACATTGGATCAATTCACATAAAGGTGTGAAATTTCGAATTCATAGAGACTTGTAAATAAGGAGAAAGAACTTAAAATCAGTAAATAAACAACTTTTAATATCAAAATTTATGTTTATAAATGATAATTGATTCATCCACGTGTTTTACTTACTGTATTTAGATCTTGACGAATTTATTGTTTCGCTTACAATAGTAGGAATAAAATACCGTATTTAGTTGCAAAAAGAATGTAATTGCAATTGATATTTTAAAATTTATTGACTCAAGTGCATTTAAAATTTGGACGACAAAAAAAAAAGCGCGATATAACGAGTGGCTACTGTATTAAAAAAATATATCATTCATAAAAGTGAATATTTTAAATCAATTTTTGTATTATATATATATATATTTATTTTATTATAGTAAGTCTATAAAAAGATCCAACATTATAGAGGCGTTGAACTGTATATAAACGAGTATTCCATACGTCATTTCTGCATATTTATCTAACATGCTTCAAGCAATTGTACATAGTTTTCAAACGTGGAGTTTTACTAGTGCTTTTATCTAACCGGATTCAACAGATAATTATCCAAAAGATCCATCTTGTATAAATCATATTTCATTGAAAGGTGCAAAAGCCAAAGAAGAAGGAACAAGTTGGCATTATATTATTATTATTATTATTATGACCGGAATGTTATTTATTGTATCATGAGTTTGCTTTACATGTTTATGATCGTTTTATGTAATGAATATGTACTCAGGAATATTTATAAATATAAAATTAATTTCTTAGATATTGTATTTTAGTTTAAAATGCAATAAAGTTATTTGTTAAACAATGTTTTGCTTTTAAATCATTATTGAATAAAATATTTATTTTTGAAGGTTAAAACATTTTTAAAAAGTAATATGATTATTTTAAAATATTGATATATTTATAGTAAATTTATTACACTGTTGTGCATTTCATTTTTTTACAATAAAATATATAAATCTAGACTTATTAATTAATTATTGAAAATTCTTGATTCTTCTGAACAAGACGAAAATGCTGCATCCATTTCTCTTTCGTCTGATTCAGAAGGAGCATTTTTATTCTAAAATTGTTCAAATAAAATAAAACGGTAAAATACTTTTTTGTATATGTAAAAGAAACGAAAAAATAAATAAAAATTTTACCTTATATATTTTTATTATACAGTCAATAATCTGAAATTTTTAATAATTTATTATTATATTTACTATCTACAGCCTTATTATTTACAAACGTTTGCTCACCTCTTCTCCTTGAAAATCATCAGAGCACGATAAAAAAACTAATGCTGATATTTCATCAGAAATCTTAAAAATATTCTGAACGCATCGTACAGCTTCAGTATATAACTAAACAAACGAAAATACAACTTGTAGACTAATAATACAAAAAGTAAAAAATTAAATTTACTAGTCATTAATTAACTATACTTACATCTAGGTAATAAGAAGGAAGTTTTGGCAATAAGCATTGCCAAAAATGAATTAATTTGCTGGTTTCGTCTATCAAAAATAATATTTAATTAAAAAATTATTTTATTCTTAGTTTAATTAAGTGTATTATATGCTACTTACTACAAATTTCTTCAATAGTTGCATTTTTGGAATAGACAATATTGAGACATGTAAGTGATATCAACATATATAATAATGATTTCATTTTTTGTTTGTTAACTTGAAATAATCTTAATGCCAATAACATGTTTCATATTTTCTTCTTTATCTTTTTTATTTTTATATTAATTGGATTTTATCTTAACTTAAAGAGAAAAGCGCCAATTAACACTTCCTCACTGTATCAAGATATAATTGAATAAATATTATAAATAAAAAAGTATAGCATAACACATAAAATATATTAAAATATAAACAATTTTTTCATTTACCTAAAACTTTTTTTATTATAAAATTTATTATTTATTTATTATCAACCCAAAAACATTGACAATATAAAGGATGACAACAAGGAAACAAAAAAATTTATTTAATTTTTTTCTAAAATAACTAATATGTTTTTAAACGAGACAAGAATAATAATTATATCTATTTCTCTTCAAACAGTATTTACAAAAATAAATAATTATTATAAGAAAGTTATAAATATTTATGGCTCGTTTACTTTCGTCTTAGGGACAATTTTGCTCGGCAATCGAAAAGTTTGGACACCACTACCGTACAAAATAAGGAAAAAAGATTAAGCTTTTTATTGTCACCTTCATCTTGTATAAATAATATTTCTAACATACCTTTGAATAAGAACGTTAATGATTATCAGAATAATATTCAAGGCAGATTGGGCGACAGAAAACTTTAGTAACACGATACACTAACGGTGGTATTCAGCACGGGTGTAATAAAAAGGGAATTATATCTCAAGGTTATATTTTTATATTTACCACGAAATAATTCCAGACTCATGTCACCGAAAATAAACCGAAGTTTAAGTCGCCGATAATGATGACTTAAACCTCAGCTAACTTTCAGCTTGTCGCTTAACGCATGTGTAGCTTCTAAAGGAGTTTTTAAAATCCTTTCTGCCCTATTGGTATTAAGAGGTCCTCTTTTAGCAAGTCCATTATGAGTTCGACCAGGCCAATAATGGGGCTGCGGGTACGGTTGAGGGATGGGGCTCGACATATTCAGACGGATCATTCCCGAAAATTTCCTGAAGATTTTTCGACATGTCCGGATGCGATCCCGGGTCTCCCGGAGCGATAGGCTGCTACTTTGACCGCTCGGCCATTCGGCCGTCCTAAAAAAATTTAATGGAATAAACAAGATGGTGGACATGGATATTCCAGATGAATTTTTAATGTTGCATGAATAATGAAAAACATGCGACAACTTCAAAAAGTATATTAGTAATAAATAAATAAATCTAGTGAGCCAGTATTAATATATACACCGTTTTCGTAGAAAAAATTATTTGAATTGAGATGAGCTTGCATCATATAAACATGGTAAATACGAAAGTATGAGATATGGCTCAAATCATGTGAATCTGGTCAGTAATACATTATGAAAATAAACATAAAAAGTAATAGAAAGTCATTAATAATCATTGAAAATATAAACGATTTTTTGAAATAGTACTAACATAGATATTTACTAGAAAACATACAGTACTAAACTTAATTGGATGACTGGAAAAATGTAATGATTGGAGATAAATGAAAATTATTTTAAGTTTGAAAGCTCGGATAAAGGCAAATACGAATCAGATTAGTATATTAATCTGTTACTGATGTATTTACATTGAGTGCGCATAACAGTAACATTGTAAACGGAAGAAAATTAAAAATTAAAATAACAGAAAAGTAAACTGCGCAATCCACTACAGTAAATAATTCATGGTCGTTATTCGTTCGTTTTCGTTTTTTCCGTTTCTTTTTATCGATGTAGAATTTAAAACGGTTACAAATTACTGTAACCGTAACCATGAAGCTCATAGTTTTAGTAAACGTAACTACATGGTTACGATGGCACGTCAGTTATTGAAAAAAATACGCATGCGCTTGATTTGAACATCATTTCACATCACATGTGGAATAACTGTAAAACAAAAATAAGTTTTGTAATAATAATTTTAGAAAATTAAGACATTTTTGCACTAGCAATAGCATTGTTTTATGATTGAATGCTTTGATTACATTAGATTTGATTGCTACATTCAATGTAAACTAACTTTTTGATGGAGATTATTCATTTTGGCTGTCAAGGAGTTGTTGATTACAATGACTGATTTCGAAATAAAATAAATCTATGTAAAAAAATACAGATCATATCGGCATTTTAGAACTTGCCATTTGTGTAATTCTTTTATCATATAAATAATTATAGGCTACTTGTTTCAATATTGTCGATTATTTCTTTTATAAAATCCAACTAAAATTCTTTACCTAAGAAAGATTTAAAAAGATCATGAATGCTTCTATATAGTTAACACCGTTACTCTCGCATTATGCTAGCTATAATGACGATAATATGGAGCGTGTGAACTAAAATCAGATTGACGTATTTCCGAAATATAAATCTACAGCCAAAAAGAAATTTCTGAATGAAATCGAATTATTTCATAACCGCATTTAACCATAATAACCGGAGGTTGTAAAGAACGTAACTTAAACCGGATCGTAATCGTAACCGAGAGTTACGATTATAGTTACCGCAGTTATGACGGTTACGATTTTTCGGTTATTATGCCTGTTTAGTTTTCCATTTTTTTTTGCTGTTTGTCCTTGTCGAATTCACTACCATGAATTATGATAAATTATAGAAAATATAGATGTATTTTTCAAAACGAAATTAAGCTAAACACATAAAGAGCAATTATTTATTGTGACATTGTCACAATTCCAATTCCGGGCTGCAATTTTTAATCATATTTTCAATTTATGTAATTTAAAATATATGCTGTCTATTTGAAATTAGTAATGACTTGCCCCTGTACGGTACATCATACTTTTCCTTTAAAAGTCGTGCCGGTCATCTATTAACTCCTTTCATGGGAAAGTTTAGAAGTTTGTATTATATATGGTTAATCAAGACCTCCTGCTCCTAAGATTTCTATATCTGTTCTCGTATTTCATCTATCTAATTCCATTCTCGATATTAAGGAAGGACAGACATACAGACAGACAACAGTGGGAATTTATAGGTCTGCAATTTTTTCAAATTGCAGCCCAATAATGCTTAGAATAGAGTAATATAAATTTTAAAATAAATGTATTTTTTTTTTACATAAAAATTTATATATATAGTCTATATTTTTAAATCAATATCAATCTTGTTATTTCATTCTATCAATTGTGTTGTTATAAATCTATGTAGAACCTGATGCTGATGATATAAATAGTTTTTATTATTAAAATTTAAAATATAAAATCTATTTTTATTATAGGTATTTTATTATATTTAGGTAATTTGTACATATAGACACATAAATAATAATCTAAAACTAAAATTTTGTTCATCCAGAATTCGTGTAAACAAACAAACAAAGAGATAAACATTTCAAAACTGATTTATTTTTTATAAAATAATTCTACAGTTAAAATTTAAATCAATATATATCATTTTTAATTAAAACAAATGCTTAAAAAAAAGCTTTTCGATTTAAACGTCGTCGAAATCAGCTCGTTCGATACACAATAAAGTTGCTTTTTCAGCTTCCTTTTGCTCTTTCTCTGTGGGTCTAACCAATTGCTAAAATATATATATATATTAAATTTTAACAATAAAGAAACAAAAATAGTTAAACNAATTTAAAAAAAAAAAAATGCTTTTTAACTCAAAAATCACACACTATTCTTATAGACTTATGAATATGTTCCAAGTTTTAGAATATGTTTAATACTTCTATGATATTCTAACTGAATAATCTATCAACGAGTTGCTTAACTTTCCTGGCAACATTTGATGGCGCCATCTGCTATCATATTTTATTAAAAAAAACTTGTTATATTTTTAACTGTTATAAAATGGCTAAAAGTTTAATTTGAGGGTAAGGATAACGTTTAAAAGTCCCCTGAATACAAAAATGTAAAAATCTTGGGTGGGTCATTTTTTGACTAATCGCCATACTTTTCCTCTGTTATAGTCTATATAACAACCGGAAAAGTAAAAACTTAAGATGGATGCCACATAATTTTATTCATTACGAATGAAAAATATTAAATTCAATTGTAAGCATAGATATTTTATAATGCAATTGATAGTAAGTAAATATCAAATAGTAAAGCCCTAATAATAAGAGAATCGAAATAGTTATTGTAAGATAGAAACTCTTTCTTTATATAACCAATAATACAAAATCAATATGGGTCATCAAACAAAAACTACAGTATATAATGTAAATAATACAAAAATATATTCTATTTGCTTATATTAATATTTTAATATAAAACATCTTCAAATTATTTTATTATAACAGAGTTTTTCAGGTGATAAATCTTGAGTAGAAATATCAATAAAAATAAACAGAATTACAAATAAAAATAACTTCATTTTTAAGAATTTTAACGTCTATCTACTCTGCTTCTTAATGGATTTGTATCGTTTTCTTTTATCAAATCTCTGTTTTAAGTTGAACCACTTGTGTGGGAAACACGTGATTTACGCAATCCATTTACTACTACATAATTTTAATATATAATTTTTAGTTTGATCTAAAACAGAGAACAAATCTATAGAATGTTCAAAGGGAGGATGAATACATTCTTCTTAATTATCTTATTCATTAATACAATATTGCTATATAATTTCCACCACCATTGTAAATGCATATCGATAACAAAAAAAGGATATATTTAAATTAGAACTGATAATCTAACGGTTTAATAAAACCCGAACAAGTCGAAGACTTTACATTCGACTTTGACTTTAATGATTGAAGAATCTGTGTTAACTTAATTTTGTAATATTCATTTTTATATCATATTTTTATATCATATTATAAACAATTTTGATAGAATTTAAATTTAATAATTTGTTAAATCCATGTTTTATTGTAAGTTTAAGCGATTTAAAGTAAATTTTATAGTGCAAAGTTTCGTCATAATGGCTTTTTTTTTTAATCTTTTGGGTGAAGGTTGATAATGGCCTGGAAGTATAACCTATTAAAAATAATTAGCAGCTTATCGAATTACATCGTTTATCAATTTTGTTGATAATAATACTGTATTTTAATCAAGTTTAACTTCTAATTTTTGTGTAATTTCCGTTTTTTTTTTTTATTTTTAGTTTACGATCTGAAAACTTGAATTTTATATTATATATTAAGCATGCAACTTACATACAAAATTATATCTTTGATACATTTATAATCCAATCTAGATTCAATGATAAATAAGAGAAATTCTTTGTATTTAATGTCTAACTGTTTATGGTATCATACCAAAATGTGGGAAATTTCTAATAATAGAAGTAACAATTGTAGAAAGTAATACTTGTAGTTAATAACTTACTTAATAAGAGTCAAAACTATTAATGCTTGTAGTTTTGAGGTTTGAAATATTTAAAAATAATTAAAATGTAAGGAAAATTCTTCTTTATTTCCATTAAACTGGATATTACTTTCTTTATTTCCATTTGGTTTACTGTACATTCTTCTAGACAGTAAACAAGAATAGGATATAATTTAGAAAAACATTTTCAACTAGGATTGGTTAAATTTTCGTCCAGGATATGTTCGATACTAATTAGGTGTAGATTTTATCGAAACTTTACGAAGTCTACGGAAATAATTAAGAATTATCTTTCAAATAATTTATAATTATTTCCGCAATAGTTTAACAGTCTTTTAGGATATTAACTTTAATAATGTGGAAGTGATAAAATCGTTGCTACAGTATAATGACTTGAAATCCCTTTTCTCTCCAAAGTTGTTTATCATTAAGAAGTGCAGAAGAGAAATTGTAGAAAAAAAATTCATAAATGTTAAAATAACAATTAATACGTGAATAATTCTTAGCTAAAATAATAATATTAAATGTTTTTATTATTATTATTATTATTATTATAAAAACAATAATTAGTTTAACACTGATATTGAAATATAAAATAGATTATTAATGTCAAAATTAATGAAACTAAAGAAACTTATGTATAAGGCATTTTTAAATAAATAATTTAATTAAATATATTAAGCTATTTAAATAGTTTATATTATCATTTTCTGACAAACATTATTAAAAATTTCATAAAATTCAACATTAATTTTTAAATCATAAATATTAAATTAATCCTATTACGTTCATGATCTCGATATAAAAAATACTGTTATTAATTTAATTTATTTTCTTTAATCCGAAAATTTTAAAAAATTCAGTAACATATATAAGTAGATATGATTTCTGCTATTCACCTTCATGTAATATGAATTACGTTCATGATCTCGATATAAAAAATACTGTTATTAATTTAATTTATTTTCTTTAATCCGAAAATTTTAAAAAATTCAGTAACATATATAAGTAGATATGATTTCTGCTATTCACCTTCATGTAATATGAATTACTTATGTAAATGAACATACATTAATGATCTTTTCTAATCTGTGACATAGTTTATCAAATGAAATATCTAGTTATAAACTGAAATAAATAATCAGATTGTATCTCTTAATGCAATTGGAGTTACATCCTGCCAAACAATTGCAGTTTAAATAACAAGACAGAATAAATAAGTTCCTGATCAGAGAGTGATGGGTCGTCAAATGAAAACTTGAAGATTGCAAGTTATAGTATTTTTTTTTTTTTTTTGTGTGTAGATAAACAATATAATAAATAAACTTAAGTTTAAGATATTTTAAAAGTATATTTTGTGCATATTTCTATTTGATATTCAGTTTTTTGTTGAACTGTTTTAGAATCAGAAAATTTCGTCAGATTTTTTTTTTAATTGTTTAAGGTCGAGCTAAAATTTTGGGTTAAGGTAATGAATAGCCTTAAAACATGCCATAACCTATTAAAAATAATTAGTGGTTTATCGTATTCATCGTATATCAACTATTTTGAAAACATTTCTTTGTTATTTTACATTGTATTTACTGTAATTATATTAAAAAAACGGTTGTAGTTTACCTAATTCAAGTAGCAATTATAAATGATACTGATCTTGAATGGGTCAAATTTTTAATCTAGTTATCTCTCTAATTACCTTAATTATGAAATTAAAAATAATATTTTTACACACTGCAGATATAAAACTAATAAATTCTAAAGTTTGAGGAATAATTTAAAAAAGTATTCCATACGTCATTTCTGCATATTTATCTAACATGCTTCAAGCAATTGTACATAGTTTTCAAACGTGGAGTTTTACTAGTGCTTTTATCTAACCGGATTCAACAGATAATTATCCAAAAGATCCATCTTGTATAAATCATATTTCATTGAAAGGTGCAAAAGCCAAAGAAGAAGGAACAAGTTGGCATTATATTATTATTATTATTATTATGACCGGAATGTTATTTATTGTATCATGAGTTTGCTTTACATGTTTATGATCGTTTTATGTAATGAATATGTACTCAGGAATATTTATAAATATAAAATTAATTTCTTAGATATTGTATTTTAGTTTAAAATGCAATAAAGTTATTTGTTAAACAATGTTTTGCTTTTAAATCATTATTGAATAAAATATTTATTTTTGAAGGTTAAAACATTTTTAAAAAGTAATATGATTATTTTAAAATATTGATATATTTATAGTAAATTTATTACACTGTTGTGCATTTCATTTTTTTACAATAAAATATATAAATCTAGACTTATTAATTAATTATTGAAAATTCTTGATTCTTCTGAACAAGACGAAAATGCTGCATCCATTTCTCTTTCGTCTGATTCAGAAGGAGCATTTTTATTCTAAAATTGTTCAAATAAAATAAAACGGTAAAATACTTTTTTGTATATGTAAAAGAAACGAAAAAATAAATAAAAATTTTACCTTATATATTTTTATTATACAGTCAATAATCTGAAATTTTTAATAATTTATTATTATATTTACTATCTACAGCCTTATTATTTACAAACGTTTGCTCACCTCTTCTCCTTGAAAATCATCAGAGCACGATAAAAAAACTAATGCTGATATTTCATCAGAAATCTTAAAAATATTCTGAACGCATCGTACAGCTTCAGTATATAACTAAACAAACGAAAATACAACTTGTAGACTAATAATACAAAANATAGAAGAGAATACTTAAAATTTGACATTCATCAGTACAACTGTTTTTCGGACCGTTTGCAGGTGATTAAAATCTACCTGTTCTCTGGTATCATGAAATTCCTCCCACCGGTTTTCTCTATGGCTTCTTTCAATTTTGCATCCGGGTCGCAAAATGGCAATTTAGCATTCATAAGGCCGATCAATTTCAACTGGCGGGATTTAGCATTAATGGTGAGGATAGTTTTAGCAGTCTCATTGGCTGTTATAAAACACTTAACCCACCAATAGTCTTATGTTCAAGTTTATTTTTTTAGTTGGTAGATTTATCGATAAAGTCATCAATTGCCATTAAGTAACGAATTGGATGGTTAGAATCACGTTTTGTTTTCATCATAAAGTAATAGTGAAATAAAAACAAATATTGGAGTTATAAGTTGGTAGTTGGTGCTGTAGTTAATATTGATAAAACTAATTTATTAAAAATTAATGTAAAATGTCTTTTAATTAGCATGTAATTAGCAAACAAAACAGGAATTTACAGTAGTGATGAGCAACGGGTTGTTCAAACGGTTAACTAGTTAAAACTAGAATTAACAAAGGAACTTTGCTTTGTAAGATCGAGTTTGGCTGTAAAAGCAATTCCTGTTAATTGGATTTCGTGACAGTCGATGTATATAAGACTGGATAATAATATGATATCATCCAGTCGATGTCAGGCTATGATCCCTTATGAACCAAAGGATGAAATTATTGGAGAAATAGCCAGGACATTTTCCCCTTTCTTACAAAAGTCTTGCAACGTTTTATTTGAAAGCAATGTCTGAAAAGGAAGTAAAGATTCAAAACATTATTCAATGTAGAAATTTTTCATTAGTTACTTCTCATAAAACAGAACACGGTATTTTAAATCGGAAATTACAATGTCAATTACACTTGTTCATAAAAACGAGATTTCATAAACCTGCTGGAAGCTCGTAAAACAGTAAAGGTTGTGTAATAACTATGTAATATTTCCATAATAATTATTCGTAATACAATATAAAGTATTTTAAGTCAAATTTTTTCTGTTTTTTAATTGATGTCCCCAATATCAGTACAGTACATATTGTTCTATCAGAAATAGTATACGTAGCATATATAGTTAAAATACGGGGTATATGTATTGTACAGTATATTATTTAATTTTTAAGCTGTAAAAATCTCATTTTAATTGAATTCTAAATGGCAAACAGATTGGATATGATACTTTAAATGTCACATAAAAATTACGTAAATGCCTTCTCATACTTTAGTGGCTGGCAAATCTTCGTAACACGATTTTTGAACTTTCTCCACAATAAACGCTGTTATCGTAATCGTTTTAAGTTTCTTTTTTGTTACTACTATACTACGGTTCTTGTCGAATGAATGAATAACTCGAAAAAATGTATGGTTTCTTATACCGTAAGCTTAATTCCAAGAATAAGACAGAAGTTTAATAACATTAATATGCACGACGATGAGTGATGATTGACAACTTAACCTGATGAGTGTTTTGTAACAGATGACGGCTTTTTACAACCTGTCCTCTTTCCCATTCCTATTTCTGCATCTTTATTTGATGCCTACGGTCAAAATTCGTCTTCTGAAAGAGTGTTTGAACCGATTCTTCTAGTTTTTAAATATTTCGTACGTAATTAATTCTTTCAGAATATCGAGAGCGGGACTTTAAGTTTTCGTAAGGTTGGTTATGGATGACAGTGTCCTTTATTTAGAGTGTCCGCTATTTAGAAGTAAATGTAACAGATGTCCTATTTGAAGGGTCTATGGATTATAAAAATGCGGGTTAAGAGAGGTGTCCGCTATTCGGGAGTTTCCGTTAAAGGAAGTTTCACTGTATTATGATTTCTTGTTTACAGATCTGACATAACTTTGAAATTGTAAGTTCGTAGCCAGAAAAGATTTCCAGAAGCATTTTTAGAGTGAGAAAATATCAATTTTTAAGTCTCCTTATATTTTATTTTATTCATAATTCCATCTTATAATCATACGAGTTAGAGCATTCCGTTCTAAACATTATCGTATTTTTTTTAATGGAGAAATCATTTATTTAGAAGTAATGTATCTATCTAAAAATTTAACTTGTTTTTTTTCATTTTTAACTAATAGTAATTATGAATAAAGCATTCATAATTTGTAATTATTATCAGAAAATACCAGAAAAACAAATTATTTTCGAAAGAAGCCCGAAGAACAATAAGTGTACTGTACGTGTCATATATAATATAATAAAAAAATATATATTCATCGACAAAATTATATGTGTATAACACTAGGTTATTTCATTTAATTATAAGTTCAAATGTGCCGTAACATAACAAATGTTGAAAAACACTGGCCTAGATGCTTGTGAACATTGGTAGTTCGATAGTGGATTGCGCTTCGCCAGGTTGGCCATGTGGAGTTTTTCGGGTTTTCTTCACATCTTGAACGCCTAAATAGGACCTAGTTACACTTAAAAGATCTTCCGGAAGGCACAGAGCTTTAATACAGGAAGCATAAGGAGATGACCGTCTTTGTCTCTCTAATCTGTGACTGGCGCTTTCCGAGTAGCTTGTTCGGCAACCGGGGCAAACATAGCGTTCAAAGTTTTGTTCGAAAAGTCTCGCTTTTCGAACAAAGTTGACTGTATGTCAGTCAAAGCCGAGGTTTGACTGTATGTAATGTATTAGAATTATTAAATTATTGTTTACACAATTAAAATTTCAGATCACTTAATGTTTCATTTTGTTATTTGTATTTTTCTTTGTAGATCATTTAACTTATTTTGATAAAACACGAATATTTTGAAAGATCTTACTTTTCCCAATTATTGTGCCTTTATATGTTAACAAGAATTATTTAAAAAACCAAAAGTAGTATTAAATTTCTATCATCAATTTTTAAACTCATTGTCATATATTATATTTTTATTATTTATTATTCTTTAACTTATTTTTGTATTTAACATAAATGTATTAAGTGATGGATGATAATAATAGTAATAACTCTTCTTTAATTTTCTTTTTTCACGTATATAAAATTTATTTTATAAATTTTTATTAAATTTTAATTCAATTTCATCAGAAAAACATCTCAGGAAACATTTATGGGCCACCTTTCTAGTTTTCTTTTCATCACTTGAAGTGGAAGTAATGAAAATCTTAGCCTAAATTTATATATTAAACATAAATTAAATATAACAAATTAAATAATTATCAATGAATATAAAAATTTTTCATACCGAATGCCTCCTGTTTACACAATTTTTAATCTAAAATTCAATAGTAAATTTAATATAAAGAAATAAATTTATAGTATTACTTCTACATCGAATATTCTTTTTACCTCTGTCAGTTCCGATTCATCCATGCAAGTAAAATATACAAGAGCATCATTTATGTTTGATATTGTTTTAATAAGCATAATACAATCAGCTACAAACAAATGATACTTAAAAATAAAATGAATTGTAGGAGTATAAGATTAAATAGATTTAATATTATAATTTAAAAAAAAAACTTACCACTTTAGAATATTCTGGCAAACTTCTCAACATACATCTCCAATATCTTAACAGTTTAGAAGGATGCACTTTCATAAAAGTATTATTTAAAAAGTTAATTAATTAATATATTAAATTTTAATTCATAATATAAATTATAAATACTTACTACATATTTCTTGCGTGGTTAAATTTCCAGTAGAAATGCCTATGAATGAAAAAATCGTAGCAGTTAGCAACATTTTCATTTTAAACATCAAGTTTTTAATAGTTTATAAATGAAGCTTTGCTATATTTGTTTGTCTAGAATTTCCTTTTTAAGATATTTATGATATACGCCTTATCATGTGATACGAATTAATTTTTAGAACATTTGTGAACTCTACGATAAAATATTTCGATGTAGTCAAATATAATGCTAAATTATGTATCTTATTAATATATTTATGACATAACTAATTAATATATAAATATAACTATGACATTCAACAATTATGAGTCAGTTATGTTTTAATAAGAGTTGCCATATTTTCGGATTTTACCAAATAAAATTTGCATTTATAAATAATATAGAATAAGGAACTAAATAAACTATGAATTATTCAACAATAAAAATTGATTTTAAATTTTATATATTCTCATAATTAATTTTCTTTCATTAAAGGTTGTTTTATTATTAAGTTTGATCGGCAATAGTATTTATTTCCATTAATTTTAATGATGTACTAATTAAAATTGCTTATTAAATTAAATGTTATTTATATAATAATAAATAAGAAATTAATTTTAACAGAATTTTATTATAACCGAAAGAATTAAATTTATATAAAATATTTTGTTCTGAATAAAATATTTTTAACTAATTAAATAAATTAGAGATTATTAAAATAAGTGCTTTATTCAAAAATAATTTTACACACATTCACGTTGAATCAAAGTCCGATAAGCCCAATGACAGTCCTTCGATAATTTCAAACAAAAATATTTCAGTGTTTAAAGATGTAATAAATAAAACAATAAGTTTAAATAACAAGTGTTAAAGTATCGGTATTCAACACTATGTAGAGGAGCAGTTCTTAATTAGAGGACCGTAGAAAGTTTTCAGGGGTCTGTGGGCTTGGAAGGATGATAAAAATCAAATTATTATCTTAATTTTGTGTGAAATTGTTAATTATTGTGCTAAGAAAGAAGTACAGGTACCGTACGTATATTACTATATTACATTTTTTTTATTTTAATAAATTTTTATAACTGGTTTCTTTTGTAATTTTATTTTATGCATTTAAAAACATTATTCCGAGAAGGGGTCATCCAGTGTCTCATCACCAAGTCTGCTTCTCAATTTGCTGCACATATATGCAGCTGCTGAGAAAACGCGTTTAGGTTTGATGGAAGTTGGAGGAATCGTTAGTAAATACTTATAAGCTTCGAGGACACGGGGAGGATGGAAGAAAACAGTCCGGTCGACACGGATCGGGATTGTAGGAGTAAAGGCTATAATCCCGATTGTTTCGATCATTGTAAGCATGTTTTTCAAAAAATAAACGCGTTAATTTTGTAAATTCGGTCTCTGTGTGAGTCTCTCAGCGTTCAGCAAACCACTACCCCGAAACGTAAAAAGACTTTCTCGCATCATCCTGACAGATCGCGGACAAGGCGAGGGTCATAACCTTTTCACCTAAGGTCGACCCCCC